TCTTTAAAGGAGGCCTTCCGTGGTCAAGTTCAAAGGCAGGTGGAACGTTTATTCCACCCAGGGTGACCACTACAAATGGTATAAAAATCACAGAGAAAATCATTACCATGTTTTCATTGTGTTTTATATAAATCACTGTTTTTATTTTACTGGGAACACAGTAATATAATTGTGAGTTTTTTCTTGAGAAAATCTTTCATTTATCTGGACTAACAGAATGGTTCAGATTGATTACTTAAACAGAAATGTTAATTAATCATCATAAATGTTTTTCAGTGATTTCTCTTAGTCTATCAAAAGAAAAAGCTAAAGAAGAGGTTATCATATTCTGTTGTGAAAACCACAGAATTTTAGCCTTGAGGTGGCACCACTGGCAAATCTCTTATCTTTCTTCTTTTCCCTGGCTCATCTTTACGCCTGAGGGCGGAACCAGAGTCGTCCGCTTCTATTACTAGCATGGACGCCTTTGAATGACGAAACACTTCTTCCTGGATGCCGAACTGGGAAGGAACGCTGAGTTTCTCTCCGGAGAAGCCAGCCTAGCTCGTTAGGTCTTGCCCATAAGCCAATTAGGGGGATCTAATGGCCGGGACAGCGGCACACCGCCGACTGTCCCACCCGAGACTGCAAGTCTCTAAGTGTTTTCAACTCCCGAGGGGAGATTTTATTTTGAAAGGAGGAACCAGATGCATCAGCTTGAATCTTTCTGGCGAGGATCGAAACAGACGAAAAGTTGCCTAAAATAACACTTTTCGCCGAGGAACAGTGAGCGGGCCGATTAAAAAGTTCCCTGACTGATCGTAGGTGAAGTAGTGACTACCCAGGGGTTGCTTAAGAAGCCATCACCAGGTAACGCTGAGCGTGTTCCGGGTGACGTGTCATGTGGAAATCCTAAGCCCAGAAGGGACATGCTGATCCGGTTGTACCACACACTTGACAAAATAAGAGTAGTAGAAACACTAACCTTATTTTCATCCTTTCCTTTGTCTTTATTTGCTAAAACTTAAGCTAACAGTGCCAGTAAATTGTTTGGTTGTTAACATCAGAACTGACATTTTACTGTTCTATATAAGTARTCTGAGTTTAATGTAAATTAAAATTCGGACACGAGTTTTATCTCATTTAACTTTGAAGCTTGTTATAGGAATAACCACAATCAGGTGTACTTATGATCTGTTCAATTTGTGTAAATAAATGATTGCATAGTCTTTATGAATCAACTTGAACTCATCTGAACGTTCCCTTATTGTGTCGCTTTTCACTTCGCACAGTCAAGATATTAAAGTAATGAGAAAATACCTTGGTAAAACTTTCCTCAAAATCCTTGTTATGAGGGATATGTAGAAAGGCTTATTTCATCCTTAAGCCTACCCCCTACAAGGACCTTTTTATCACTGCTTCCCGTTTTAATTACTATCCAAGAAATGCACAAAATTGAGATCCTGTTGGTTACTTCTGTTTTGCCACCTGCATACTATTTTTTAATATTCATTTCATTTAAACAACAAAAACAAACATTAAAAATAAACAAAAAAATTGTACTTGATCCTAGTGGAACCTTTCAGATCCCAGTTTTACACCGTGTCCACGTCGCTGTGGAACAAACTCATAGTGAGTTTTACAGAATTGGTTAAAACCTTGATGTTTTGCAAAGCTACATTTGTTGATGAGAAATGGGACAGTTGCAAGGTGATGTTTGTAATTTACCTATGAGTTGAACTTTTCTGAGGCATCTTTTCATATTCCTCTGGAAACCACCGTCTGTAAAAACAGGCAAAGCTACATTTTTCAATAACTTTTTTTATTTGTTAGTTTCATTTGTTATACCCTTAAATAATAGGGTGACATGTTTAAATGTGGGCACAAATCCTCACCTGCAAAGCTCTTTAATGGTGCTCACATCAATRATTCTGTAGTGAAGGTGGTACATGAACTGTGACATATGCTTATCCAGAAACCTCTTGTCTGCATGCACAGAGTTCCCTGCAGAGGAAGTCATCATTTTCATTTATTAGTTTAAGGTTAAAAAGTATAGCTACAGCTACATTGAAACTCCTGGAGATAAGAAGATTACAGCGGGTAAAATAAGTATTGAACACGTCACTATTTTTCTCAGTAAATATATTACTAGAGGTGCTAATGACATGAAATTTTCACCAGATGT